TATCATTTCAGATGATTTCTTTGAGGTCCACTTCAGTTCTGCTGTTCCCATCATTGTTGGTTTGGCTGTTAGTTTGGCTGCTTGCATCGTGTTTATTCTGTTTCTTGTCTTCTTTGGGTGGAGACAAAATGTCAGTAAGTCACAAATGAATTACAATTCCTTGTAAATGGCCTTTCACAGGTTTCATAACAGTGAAATTAATTATGGAATAAAATTACATTGATCAAAATGTTAGTATTTGTCACAGGTCACAAGGTATGGTGTTGTTAAAACTGCAGTGGTGTCTCTACTTTCTAATCAGACGCAAATGTTCGATATCGTGCGATACCTTTCAACAATGCAGGTCATTGTGTTTCATACTTTAATATTACTGACTATATTTTTTACAGAGATCAAGAAAAGCCACAGTAATACAACTGATAAAGGAGAGAAGAAGAACCAAACTAAAAGCAACAACGCTGAAGATATGTTTGTCACTGAAGAAGAAACAGAGAGAAAGATGCTCATGACAACTGAAACAGAGACCAAAAATGTAAGAAACAAGAGAACAAGTCAAAAGTCAAAGTAAAAAAAAGCAAAAAACAACAGCTTGTGTTTCATTGGAAGAGAAATAGAAAACGAAAGCAGCTAACGACAGGAAAAGAAAATAATCTGATGGAACAGGTGGAAAAGCATCAGTCCAAACTAATCAAACTGCTAACCTACAGGTTATATGGTATTTCTCCACATTATGATACTTCAAATGCAGAAAAATCTGATATTGATGTCTGTCATATGTCATTTTTTAGTATATTCGTTCATGTTGCAACAGAATTTTTTCTGTTTATCTGTCTCTCTCTCTCTTCCCACCAGCAGAGTGAGGACGGACACAAGAACAAACTGGAGACAAATGTGGAGGTTGCTTTTCTTTTGTGTCCATAAACACTTTTACTGCAAGAGTTTGTTAAAAATCTTTACAGATAATTATCTTATCATAGTAGGTCTAATAATCAAATTAGTAGTAGTTTTAGGTATCCATAACAATTGATATTTTATTTTCTGTCACAGCTCCATGAAGAGAATCAGGGCAGGGAGGAGACTGTGAACAAAGTGGAGAGTCAGAATGAGGAGAAGGAGGTTGAGAACAGTCAGGTTAATATCTTCATCATATCATTCTGTACTAATGTGTCTCATATCTGCTGTATGAGGCAGGTTAAATGGATGGATGAATGGAATTACTTTCAGTAAATGAGTAATATTGAACAGCTCTTCACAGCTGTCCTTGTGTAGTCAATCTTGAGTTTTCATGGAAATGCTGTTAGGCTAGAAATTGAGTGTCATTGTTTACAATGATTACTCACATGCTTTAATAAAAAAATATATTTTTTTCTTTATCTTCTCACTCCTAGTTGGTGGGAAACCAAACTGCTGCTCAGTCCTCGTGTTTTTTTTGGGTAAGTGGTGACAAGAAATACAATCACAGGTAACACAGAATAACTAACCCTGTCTCCTGGAAATGTTTACAACTCATTTCCAACATATATGGATTACATATTGTTGTAACATAATGACAAAATGTTTATATTGAACATATTGTATTAAGTTGGTTTTCTGCCAAAATGTCTTATGTTGCAATACAATATTACAAGCATTATTACACTTCCTTATTGTAATGTTGAAGTAATTGCTACACTTGATTAAGGTTGGGGTAATATTATGGTCTGGTTTAATACAACACGTTTCAACATTTACCCAAACTTGTTCTGCAGTCAAACTACAGTCTCTGTACCGCCACCATCCACCCGACCACCTCCCTGTCACTGTGGTTAGGTACATAAATGATAGTGCCTAGTGATAGTCATTCATTATTTCAATCTCTTTCCTCCCATGTTTCCTCTCGGCCTTTCTGGAAGCCCTGGAAGCAGCACCAGGATGAGCAGCAGATGAAACAGAAGGCTGAGAAAGAGTCCTTAAATAAGGAGGTATTTGTTATATTTTCCTCACATAACAATTTTTAACTTACTACTTGTTTTCAGTTCTCTTTAAAATGTGTCCCTGCTCTATATCATCTTTAGTTAATTTGCATGTTTGAAGTGACAAACAGAGCAGAGTCCAGTGACTCATTCCTCCAGAAGCTCCGGCTCAGCCCCCACTCTCTCTTTCAGAGTTTCCCGGCAAGCAGCTGTCTCTCAGTGAGCAGCTCTGTCCCTCTGCTCCGCCTGGTTCTCCCCACACATATTCAGTCACCAACTGCACAGACCACATTTAGTCAGAATTGTCAGAATGTCACTTCCTGCAGTCAACCACTACTGAAAGTTTAACATCCATCTGTCTGTGTGTTCGCTGGAGAAAGACCAACAGTCAGTAGACTCACTTCATACATATGCTGCATGTTGCCTGCCATGTTGAACCACCATGGTTCTACAGTAGTCCAGAATGGACAAACCAAACAGTAGTTTTCGATAGGGCCTATGCGTTTTTCGTGTGTTTCGCAGTCACCCTAGTTTCTCTTTCGTGCTTGAACGAGAGGATGAAGTGAGGGCGTTAAGATTTGCAACTATACCTCTAGATTTCAAAATTACATTTTAAAGTTGATTAATTTAACGGGGAGCAAGTGTAATTGAATTAGCAAGGGAATTACATGTTCTGGATGAGTTGAAGTTGCTGAATAAGTTTGTTGGGAATGCCAGCCAGAATTGCATTGCAGTATTCAATGCGTGATCTGACCAAAACATTAACTAAGACTTCTGTGTGTTCTGGTAAGATAAAACATAGTGTGGAGATGTTTCACATTTGGAAAAATCTGGGAAACATTGTTTATATGACTGGAGGAAGAAAAGGAACTGTCCAGGATAACACTGGATAAAACCAAAGCTCTTTCTTTCTCCTATGTGGAGACAGCAAGTTAACAAAAGTTGGTGGTGTGCGACTTAGTGCCGCAAAGCGTTATGCTTCTGCTTCAAAGTTACATAGTGCAAGAACAGGCTTAGGGTGTACAGTGTGGGAATGAGAGAGGAACCATTCAGAATCAGAATCAGAATTTGGTTTATTGCCAGGTAAGTTTTTACACATACGAGGAATTTGTCTTGTTGCAATCACACAAAAATATGCAAATCACACAACAATCACACACA